AACAGAATGACCGCAAGATGGACACACTGCCTGTAATATCAAGTTTGGGTCAGGTAATCTTTTAAGAATAATTGAGTCGGTCCGTGCGTGTCATTGTTTCGAAGATATCATTTCCGATCACGGCCAGAGCAAACAAAGTTGTTTTGACCTTTAGAAATGTTGTTTTCAAAACCAAAGAGCCTCGTGGTCAACAAGAAGGACCGTTTCCGTGTGGACAACGGCTTAGGCGACACTCTCAAAATAGACTTCAATGAGCCGGGTAATAATCGACTTATTGACGGGGCTAATTTCTTCGTTGACTGTTACATTCCGTGAATAAACAATGCCCGTTAATGGAAGCAAATAGCCCCACGTGGACTTAAACAACAATGAGACTCCCGCTGAGATAATAGATGAGAGATGCTAACCGAAATGACCAGCCAACAAAATTTTTATGATTCGGTGTCACTTTATATACTGTATACACACGGGATCAGCCAGCTTTGTAAAGTCCATAGAAAGTTCATTACTTTTGCTAAGCCTTCCCACAGAGGCAATCCAGGCTGTCATTTTTTGTCCAAAATTATCATAATTGTGTATATATGCCATAATATTTAGAAAATAAGATGCGGCAAATAAAATGGTACACGCCCTATCGACTACAACCTATCGACCACCCGAGCGAGATTTCGTTTGGCGTTCAACACAAATCCCATTATACCGGTACTCGTAATTTGCTAAGGTCAACACACGGGAAGACAAAGACCTCGTTGTGTTTAATTATGAAGAACAAACGAGAACCGGTGATGAACTTATTCCCAATCAAAGAACAGAGGATATGCTCACGCAATCTCTGTTGCCACAGGGATACTTCATTAACAACTGCCTATTGTTTTACGCGAGATAAAAGGCATAGTGATATCTGGGTGGGTCAATTAATACACGCACTTTCTTTGTATTTTACATACTATACTCTAATATGCTAACCGGAGGGGTCGGATCAAAGGCTAGAATTTGATATAAAATCTTTTCACAAGGCCATGTGATGCAAAGTTGTGCATTTATCACAAATTCTTGAAATGTTTATTTGGGAATAATTATGGTTCCACTTCTTTCACGTATGAGGGTTAATAATTAAGTACTTAATTCACAGCTTGCCTCCCAAGACGCGTTAAGCAGTGCATGATAATTTGTTTTAGAAATATTTTTGAAAGTGAGACCTTAAGTTTAGGAATTTAATTCCTATTTGTGTTTAATCGTTTTTTATCGTAACTGCACTGGGCCCCTGCTCTCATGAATGACGAAGGGTGAATTCCTAATGAAAACGGGATTTTGAAAAGTTTATTCAACAAATGTAAATACCTGAAGCATGTCAAAATTCCGTCTGTTTTTATATCGTTCAATAAGTCAACAGCTTTTCAAATCTCCAATTCGTAATTTTGCACAGTTATGCGAATGTCATGTCCTAGTGTATGACCGGTGAAACGTCCTCCCGTTGTAATACTTTGACTTTTTGGAAGTAAAAATTCCTCGTGTGCTAGCAAGCGTACCTTTGGTTAATAGAAAGGTTATATGAGTTTGTTATAACTGATACGCTGCCAAAACTCCGTACGACCCCAAGGGTTCTATGTAAACTCTCCGATTAATAGCAGTAAATTAGGGGTAACAATCCCACCGTTTTGTTCCTTTTCTACCCAGTTGAAGCAAATGGCACCTCTGAATAACATAGCTTGATTTGCTTACTGATCAGCCGTAAACTAGGCAAACACACTCAAGTTATCGGGTGCACCTTCCTCATATTCTCTGTCCGTAAATAAAAGAAGTGGCATTTGACTCGTATTGTGCGCCCTTTCTTCGTATTGAGGAAACAAATAAACAATCTGATAATTGCAAAAATTCCCTTCATTGAGAAGGTTAATAACATGCAGGAAAACGCGTGAAATGTACTATAAAGGGTTTTCTCGCTCCTCTATTTACCTCCGCCCCCTGCATTGAAAACGTGATTTAACATAATTAGCACAAGTTGTAATCGCTTCTGCCTTCCGTCAATAAACAAGCAGCAAACTAAAGGGCAATTTACTAATGCACGGTCTTAGTCGCTCCTTAAATTAGTATTCAATTTCTTTATAAGAAATTGAGACACAAAATACCACAAGAAAGTGTATAGGCCTATATGGTGTTTCACGATTCAAATATTGAGGTGGGGCCGTTCAAACTCTGATATCGTAACGAGGACATTTATTTCCATTTTCTTGGATGTTTTCTTGAATGCCCTTACTGGCTGATCTTTAATATCCAAAATTTTATAATAAATTATATATATATCAAGAGTGAAAATAAAACTTGGCCACGGAAGTTCGGATATGGCAACTGTCAAGGTGCCATAACCTCGGCGTGTACATTACAGAGTGTTAAAGGTGTTGATTGAAACACTGGCTCAAACTACTTTTTTCCGTATATTAAACTGTGCATAATATCAAGTTAAAAGCAACATGGACTGGTTTCTTGGTCAGTATTTGTATTATGAAGTCCTCGTTCAGGCAGTGGGTACGACTTGTGGTAGCCTACATGGTGTGCTATATGGGGTAAGGCCCGTTTTTAGATCCAGACAGAACGCATGCTGTAACTAAATCAGATAATTTGCGCAATCTGGATAGCGAAAAAAATCCGATGATGACAGAAACAAAACTTATCCACCAATACATACACCCAATATGACGTGAAATCGCTCACCCTCGCTGGTGCACAAACACAATCAAACAGAATCTAAGGGAAATGGAATTATATGCTCTGTATAATTTTTATTTCAACCACAATTCCGCAGTCTTCTAAGACTGATATCTTTCTGAATGGCGAACATTTTAAAGTATAGTGGATGGCGTTTTCACCCATTGTCTCCTCGGGAAATAGGCCTAGACCTACTCGGATATGGGCCTACATAAAGTTCATATACTCTGAAACCTTCTCAATAAAAAAGAGTTATTCTGTTAAAAATGCACGATTTACTAAATGTATCTGCAATGGCACTGAGCTCGGCCATGGGGGCGGGGACAGGAAGAACAGGTCTATGTCATCCATTGAGATAAAAAAACATATGATGAGGTTGATGAAAAGCCTCACATGTAGGGACTTCATCTGATTGCGGTAGATGTACCGTTGATCGACCGTCATGTAACGCATTCCAGATTAGTGAGAACAAAATTGATAGTTAGTTAGTTAAGGACGCTTGTTAATGACCAAACTCATATAGGTGTTTTAATAATGGACTAGGTAATCAAAATGGAAATCCGAATAATTGATATCAGCCACTAGGCCTACTACTTATATATAAGCTCCAATTTAAATATTAACATCAGGTACGCTCCAAAAAATATAGGCCTATAGGTGGTTAGACAAATTTTTAAGGTGAATGTAACGTTTTGTAAGAAGTTGTGATTGGCAAAAAAAAAAAAAAAAAAAAGCATTCTGGAAATTTTCAAACTCATGCAAGAGTATCTTTAAATGGTCTAAGTTTAGGTCCCCTAAAACATACTTCAGAAAAAATAAAGAAAAAATGGCCATTTCTCTTAGAGGAATATATTATTCATCGTCACACAACAGATGCAAAATAGGAAATATCAGCACAAACTCATTTTCGTACTAGATTAGGCTTTTAGATCTAACCGTTCAGAGGCGAACAATATTTCAATTTTTTTGCTCCACGTAGGCCTACGTGCAGTCTAATGTAGTGTCTTTTCTCAATTATGAGACATATCAATTGAACACAGGTCATTTGTAAAA